CAGACCTCACCTGCACTGGTGTGAAGAAGGCGCAGACCTCACCTGCACTGGTGTGAAGAAGGCGCAGACCTCACCTGCACTGGGGTGTGGACAGTGCACACACTCGGCTGACCCACGGCCGGAGTTCTGAGTTCATCAGAGGCGCCCTTGGAGGAAGGCTGTGAACTGCAGGTGTTGAAGCCGCTGTGGCTCCAACCATTCTTGTCCCGGGAGCCCACGGGGGTTTGTTTTCTCAGTGCACACAAGTTACACCTACACTGACTGGGATCTTGAAGGAGCCTCGGGGTACCGCGTGGGGCGGCCAACCAGAAGGCGGTTGTTATGCACTCTGAGTCAGAGCCCACCCGTAGCTGACCGCCCTTTGGTTTCCAGAGGCAGTAACCCACCCAGGAGGAGACTGCCCACCCGTCTTCCACAGAGCGGCTGGTGACCACCAGAGTCCTCTAACCAGAGGATCATGGTTGGGATTCCCCCGCAGCTCTGAGGGAGACGGGTAGTGTCCTCGGTGGAGGTTTGCAGTCCTGGAGCCTGATGGAGAGTCTGGAAGACGTGGGACCGGCATGGCAGTGGAGGCTGTTTACCATGTGTGCACGGGCAGGATGCCAATGTGTGGAGCATGGTGACACAGGCCAAAACGGGGCATGGGGCACAGTGTGACCCACTCACTGGAAATCGGCGAGACAGACCTCCAGACCGAAAATGTCGCATCTGGGGAGCGCAGTGAAGGGACCCCCACACCACGAGGCTGCCCGTCCTGAAGGGGCCCTGAGGCCTGGGCCAGGGGGGCAGCTCTGCTGGGCTTCACGTCACCACAGAGTCACCATCGGTCAGAGTGGCTCCCAGCACCTGGGCTGGGTTAGTGCCCACCCTTGGCTCCCAGGCAGCTCTACCAGTCTAGGGGTAAGAGGCTGCGCTGCAATCCCACAGACACTAGGTTCAAATCCACCAGCTGCCCTACAGAAGGAGGGACAATCTCCTCCCACGTACAGCTTCTGAAAACCCACCAGAGGGGCAGCGATGGGTGGGTCACGGCAATGGGTGAGGTTGACTGGAACCCTGAGCACTCAGCAGGCCATTCAGTCAAAAGTGACCGCCCCCTGGCCACAGGAAACGCCTGCTGGGTTCAGGACTGGAAGGACACCCAGAAGGGAGCAGGGAAAGCAGTCTTTGGGGACCTGATCTGCAGAAGGACAGTCACAGCCCCCATCGTCCACTCCTCCGACACTGCCCCATACTGAGTATCGCTGTGTGTCTGCAGGGAGGACAGGGCTGGCTCCCACTGACCAGTGAGACCGGGGCTAGAAAAGGCATGGGAACTGAGAGGTGGCGGCTGGAGCCGGTGCAGCAGGTGCACGCAGACACATTCACACGCGTGTACATGTGCGCGTGTGTGCACGCGTACACACACACACGTCAGACAGCGTGCTCACACGGCGCCTCATTCCACTAACAAGGAAGCCCCACGACTCTTGCGGGCAGCTGGGTACAGAGGGACAAAGGAGTCAAACAAAACACTTGCCAGTATTTCCAGGTGGATTTTTATGTTTGCAGAAACATTTGGGAAACTCTTTGTGGCCTCTGGGCCTTACCAGGGCCCTGACAGTGCTCAGCTTTGCAGCGTGGAGTCCCTGGCTCTGCGTGTCCACCAGGGCCTGGCCCCCGTGGCCCCATCGTCAGCCTATGGCCGGCCCTTCCCAGAGGCTCTGCTTAGCCAGCGGGCCACACACAAGAATGTCCCACTTTCACCCGGCACTCACATTTCTGAGCCTTTTAACCACTGCAGACAATTCCGCAGGGGACACAGAGCGGTATGATTTCAGACGCTGGGCGGGGATGCTGGGGGGTGTCTGTGAAATCGGACACCTTGGAGGGAGGGTCTCCGAAAAAGCAGAATCCCACAGTATCAGCAATGATTAACCCGGTCTGTGGGAGCTGCAGGTGACTGTGCTTGGGAATGCGGCAGTCATCTCTGAACGGTCCAGACCCTGATGGCCCAGGGAGCGCACCTCCTCCTTGGAGGCCATGCTTGGGGCATCTGTGGGCCTTCTCAGGCGGACCCTGGAAATGAGTGTTCAGGTCACAGGGTGAGACACGGGGTCCACGCTCTGCTGGTTCAGGGGGTCCTTGGGCTCCTGAGAGACTGGACTCCAGTGCTGGTCAGGTGCACCTCACATGCACACCTGCACACACTCACACGCCCACACCTGCAAGTATCCTCACATTCTCCCTCTTTCACACACATATACACAGGCATGCACGCACAGGCACCCTCCTGCCCCACTCCGGCGCACCCCCCCCACTCCACACACTCTCAGGCTCACACACGTACACACATACACCCTCCTGCCCCATGCACACTCAAGCTCACACACCCTCACACACTCTCTCACCCTGTGCACACTCAGGCTTTCTCTCTTTCTCCCTCTCACACACACAGCCTCATGGCCATGCACTCTCAGGCACACACACACACACAGACACTCACACACACACACACTCAGGCACAGTCTTACACTTTGCAAAGCACTGGCCATTCCTACTGGGACCCTCACAGGCCTTTCTCTGTTCCTAGAAGTGCCCACTGGGACAGTAACTGAGACCCCCTCCGCATCCACCTTCCCAGTCAAACCGGTCTCCCCACCTGCTCTCCTTCCTCTTCCAGGGTCCCCATGGGGGGCGGGGCTGGGAAGCCAGGTGATAGCCGTGGGAATGGGGGGTGGTGGTTGAAGCCTGGGAGGTGGCATGCAAGTAACTAGAAAAGGCAGTGGTGAAGGGGGGTAAG